AACTAACTATGCGCCACCCGCCCCCCCCCACACACGATGAAGAGTGGTAGCTGCTCCGATCAGTTTCAAATCCGATGAATTGTGGTGTCTGGTCCGATCAGTTTCAAATCCGATCCGTGGTCCATAGAGACCCTTATATAAAATTTAAAAAAAACGCACGCTGCGAGCACGCGCGCGCGAGAGAGAGACACCCCAACTAAGGGGAAATTGTGGTAAGCCGGAGACAGGTATGGGGAGTGAAACACACAACAGGTTAGTTGAAATCCAACCACCACCAAACCCTCCAATCCCATCAACCTCTTTCTTTTTCTTGGAAAACATTCCTTCATTATTGTGGGCGTAGCCGCAACAGGTCCCCTAGTCGAGTAATATACTCGCCTTATCTCCTTCCATGACGTGTCAATCAGATATCAGATCAAGTGGACACGGCGAGGGATCGACATGAGCAGCCAGTCAATCAGGTGGATGACCTGTCAAGTGGAAGTCTGACACGTTTGGCGCTCCAGAAGGTGGTTGGTCGGGAAATAGAGAAAAAGGTGGAAGGAAGAAGGAGACAAAGAGGGGGGGGGGTGTTTCTTGGCTTGAAGGGATTTTTCTGGAGTTTGCGGAAGTGTGGAAAAAAGAGATGGGGCGGCCAAAGTATTCCTTCCCAATAATAGAGGGAGCACAGCTGTTAGCAGAGTTACGCGTGTTCCTGAAGCATCAGTTCAATGACGAGGACGTTTTGGCACCTCACATGGAGTCTATACTACCCATCTACGAGGAGCTTGTCGCAATTGCGCTTGGACAAAGAAAGTGAGCTCTTTGCTAGCAATCTTGCTTATTTTCCGTTTCTCGACCACCCCTCCCTCCACCATGTCTGCCTGCCTGTCTGTCTGTCTGTCTCTGTCTGCGTCCATCTTCCGCCTCCCCTCTTCTAATATCTCATCCACCCCTCCCTCCACCATGTCTGCCTGGCTGTCTGTCTGTCTGTCTCTGTCTGCCTCTCTCTTCCGCCTCCCCTCTTCTAATATCTCCTCTTGATGGGTTTTCTTGTTATTCATTGTTTGATTTTCATTGGCTGTGCTGTTGTGCTGGGTACCAAACTCAGTTACGTTTGTCGCCTGATGTGTTTTTTTAGGGATCTCGCACTTCTGGGCAGGGTCAGATCGTGTTTCAGCCCTTTTCCGTTTGTGTGCGTGTGCGTGCGTGCTTGCGTGTGTGTGTGTCTGTGTTATGTTCGCTATTAGCAACTTCACACAGCATGAACGTGTGTGTGTGTGTGTGTGTGTGTGTGTGTGTGTGTGTGTGTGTGTGTGTGTGTG